TTTTTTTTTTCTCCGAAATAGTGTGTAGAATGCAGAGCTAACAAGATAGTTTTATGAATGTGGTTTTCTAGTTTTACAGTTATTTAACTTCAGAGTTTGCAACTTCTAGATTTTCAGATACATGATTAACAGCCTCGTAATATTTTTTTATTGTTCCGGGATAAAATTTCGGTACAGATAGAAAACATGAAAATGTAGCCCTAGTTATCTCATACGCTAACACACTGATCGCCATTGTTTCGATCCTTCCTTTTGTTTTCTTGAAAAATGCAACTTATCTCTATGGCAAGTTCGATATATACTTGTGCCTTTTTTACAAAAATCCGCAGCTTATTTTCATTTTGCATGACAGGTTCGAGCAATACAGACGAAAGGTCCAGCAAGAGGTAGAGGCAGAAGAGCGGAAGGAAAAAGAAAAGATATTAGCAGCTCAGCGCAAAGCGGCTCGCATACGGGCGTTGCAAGAAGAAGCGGAAGCAAGAGCCCACTCTAACTCATCATCCCACGTAGCTCGTCGATCGCATGCTCATAATGGTACTGTTATATCTGGTTGAATAGCTTATATTCAGCTTCGCATACACCGATTTTGCGTAAGAGCGTGTTATACCAACGTGCTTTTTTGTCTGCAGCACAAATAATATGTTAGTGATACTAGCTTTGCCTATGTCTGTGTTTTTAATGTTACTGTTTGTCTTGCAAAGGGAAGGGTTTGCATACTTTTTTTACCTCGGGTATGAGATATTGCCAAATTTTTTGCACCAAAAGATTCTTGGGTATCCTAAATTCAGAACGGGCAGAACAAGAGAAGCCTCTATCCAGAGCCGGATCAAGTCATCTTGAATGGTGGGAAAGGAAGAAGGATCGACTGGTCAACGACGGAGCACGCAAATCAGTTCAGTCTCCAGTTATTCCAGCTCTTCGGTTTGTTTTTGCGCCCTTTTATCTTAAGCTCTTTTGCACAAAAACAAAAACACCTTATTGTCACCCTTTTGTTTACTGCTTTCTGGGACACTGTAAAAAACTGTTATAGGAATAAAAACAGCTCAACAAATGCACCTCCAAGGTTTGATGCCTTCGAGATCACTGCAAACGACGCGGGTACAAGTAACACTGCCTTGCTGGAACAGACGGGGAGGCCAAGCTTATCGCGAAGGTGATTTTTGCTGCTTCCAAATGAATTAAGCTATGCGCTCGAACTCAAATACAACATGAAATTAGCAGTGCTTTTAATGAGTGTTTCTACCGGATGCTTGGTAAAATTACAACGTCGTAGATCAGAATATCGACGTGAGCATGTTTTTCCCGCACACTTTAGTCCTGCAGATACTAAACGGAGTAAACGTCAATTTAGCTGATGCATTTCGCAAAGGCCAGAATGTGAAGACAATTTGGTCTGTGAGTAATGTAGGTGCTTTGTATTGTTCAAGGTTTGTTGCAAAGATAAACCAAATATTTTTTGCAGATTAAGTGGACAAAGCTACCATTCATCGATAACTTCGGGACGGACGCGCAGATCCGATTCAGTAACCCAACAACGTCGAAACTCGGATGCCTGCGCCCCGCGTCGTACCGGTAACAGTTTGGGGTCAGGAAATTAATCCATTTATCAATGCAGCCTATGTTAGTGAAGATGTGAATTTTATGTTAGCTGGAAGGAACGAGAAGCCACACTTTTGCATCGATGACTATTTTTGGCTGACATTCGCTGTTATTACTATTTTAGCAGCGATAACGAATATATCCCGGAAAGTGAGCTAGAACGAGAAGCGTCCAGTTCTCGTTTTTCCAAGAAGACACGAGACGTTCGGCATTCGCAGCAGTCCTGACAAATTTGTAAATCAGACACCGAATCTGGATAATCTCTATTTCAGCTCAGGGCTTTTTTCAAATAAATTTTCAGCAGTATGTGCGCACTGTAAGCAAAAGCCGATAAAGGCAGTGTCTCCTACCAATTTTCAGTGTTTTTAGTGTTTCGTCCTCGAGAAATAAGTATTATTTAAAATTGGAAAATTGCTAAAAAAATCCAACTGACACTTGAAATAGCTACTAATTCCTTACTGATTCTCAGCGACGTGCCGAAAACCATACCATTTTCTTCCATGGTTCTTTTGACCAACTCAGCTTCGCCTCGTGGTCAGTCTTCTGGCGATCTTGGTGTTTTTTTCCTTTACTAAAGGGCTTACCGACTTAACAGCTATTCCCACAGATACAGTTTGGCAAGGCTTTAGCAATGTGGAGATATAACGGTGTGTGTTGAGCGTTACCCCCTTGTTCCCAAGCGGAGGATGTTAAGCCTTACCGTCTGGAAGCTAAGATCAAACTGACTGGCCGGCAAAAAATTACTGTTGTTTGTTCCCAAAGTGTTTGAGACTTCTGTTGTTTCCAAGAAAATGTTTGAGAAACCTTCCTATCAAAATTTCTTTCTCCTTCGCATAAACTTTGGCTCTACAACCGATGCTTGTAGCTCATATTTCATGGAAATTTGAACAAAATAATAATCACAGAAAGTGACGTGAGAATTATGGAAAGAAATTTATTGAAAAAATTTATCGAAAAAATAACTTATTGAAAATTAACTTTTAACAGTTAGTAAACAAAGGGCAATTCGAAATACAGGACTTCGGTTGTGCGCCATCCACAGCTTATTCGTGTGGCATGAATTTTCGCAGAAGCGATCTCAGGAAACTGTACTTTCACTCGGCGCTGCCTGAGGCAAGTTAACAGAAAAATTTTTCTTTTTCTTGTTGCCTGAAAATTAACGGAGAATAAACAGTGGCACGTGCTACAATGTCAGCGCAATGAACGACGTTTGCGTGGTGTCGAAGTACTGTGATCTCAAAATGTGGTTGCACTGGCCACTGTTGACCAGTTAGTCTTGACGATTTTGGTGTTACAACATCACCACTGGCTGACTTAGTACGATGCTACCGTTTGTAGACAAATCAGTCCAAATGACATAGAAAAGCGGTAGAAGAAAGTGCAAAACTTACGGAATGTGTTGGGGCGCTTTGAACGAATGATGGTGAAGACTTTGTCTTGCCATCCATCTTCCGGCTCCAGAAAACGAGTTTCTTTATCATCCATTCTAAAAGACGGGATTAGTTGATAGCTTCAATAGTGAATGAAGTGAAAAAAGTTGCACCTCTCGCGTCTCTTAAAATCTTTATACAAATACCACGGTTAAATTGGGCGGAAAATTTCACCTAACAATCAAAGCTATGACAGATCGCATACCTGCCACAGCTTTGACCAAAAAAGTCTTTAATAACAAGGGCTTGCAAGAAGTGAAGAGAATCTTTTTTCTTTCTTAGACAAACTGCGACGTGTAGATTATGAGTCACTATTCAAACACCTCAGATTCTGGCTAAAAATAAGCAGAAACTGTCGTCCTGGAGTGAAAACTGGTTTCAGATTTGACAGCAATGCTTTTGTTGTAAGGAGAGAATTAGAACCTCAGAAGTATAGTCATTTACGCGGAATTTAATAAATCCCGACTTCGTGAGGATGAGTCCAGTCACTTCACCCATACTTGCAAAAAATAGGTCTCTGTTCGCGAGACTGTCTTTGCATAGATGAAAGTTTTGAAGGACCCGCGGGCCGCTTTTTCTCGAAAATATTCGGCTACGAAATATTAGCATTCAATTGTGAAATATTAGTGGAACCAAAAACACTGCTTCAAATAGTATAAATGGTATTTTGGTGGTTTCTTTATCGCACATTTGTCTTCAGAAGTCGAGGGTAATTTTGCTTTAAGACATTCTTTTCCAACGCTGTTGGCATAATTTAGCATCTGGATTTAAAAAGTGCATAAAGATGAAAACCAAGTGCACTATACTGGGTTATGTTCGATAAAACTACTAATTCACACGACTATGGAACTGCACGGAACAAAAACGAACAGGAGCACTCGTTTCAGGCGAGTTGCCGGATTTTCATACACCAGTCCAGTTGCACCCCAAAAAATACGCTTAAGCATGCTCAAGTGCAATGTGCCATCTTCCACTGAAAGCGGGATTTCAAAGCTCTCGTCATTGTTACTATCTGATACCACAATGAACTTGACGTTTTTCCTATCGCTTATGACCTGAAACCGAATTTGGAAGTCGCTTTTAAGGCATTTCTGAATATTTATGCAAATGCAAAAACGCATACTGCCAAGAGGTTGTTTGTGTTTGTTCTGATTTAGATCAGTGTTTCCAGCACCCACTTGTATCTGCCACAGAAATCGCCAAGTGCTACACATTGCTCGATTAACTGATTACGGCTGGATATCAGAAAGACATTTCTGAGGCAGCAAACAGCTATTTTTACGGTTTTTGAAGTGTACATGATAGGACTTGCAGTGCAGTCATTGACAATAGCTTAGAGCAGAGAGAGCCTGGCATGTCTGCTATGGTAAGCGACCATGTGTCGGTGAAAATGACAGCTCTGTAGTAATAATCACAGCAAGTGCATCGCTAAAACTCTGATTTAACCCTCACTTTTAAAACACAATACTTTCAAAAATCGGAGGGCCTAGCACAGCTACGCTAGGCCTGCAGAAGCATCCCAGTAACATCACTAACAGGAAATGTCAAATAGCCCAAACAGACCTAGCATTCTTGGTACTTTAAAAAAAGACAAGCTCGGCACACTGACTGAAAATTACCATACCGCTATTTCTGAAAGTGACAGAGGCCTGTATACTCTTTCTTGTTCCATTGGCACTTCTCCCTGCTGCCCTTGATCTGAAATCAGAACAGCATAACTCTGAAATTTGTTATGAGGATAGTTAAATCATAGTTTGAAGTAAGTGGCTGATGGAAACCAAAAATTGTATCAGTTTTTCACTCTCAGCCCACTTGTTGACTGACTAATTGAGAGGAGCGCCGTTTTTTGAGTACTCATAATTCGCAAAGTGATCGGTTGACCGTAGTCGCATAGTTTGCTCAACACAGATTGAAGTAAACGTTCCAGCCGCCGCAGTAAGTGATAAAGAAACTTGTACTAACAATGACTGTCGAGCGCCTTAGCCAAATAGTTTGGCGAATTGACGTTCCCCGTCTTGTGTCTGCTAATTTTAGTACCCAGCACTAAAAGTTAAATTAACAGTTATCCCACAGACTACTAATGGTTTTAAAAAAAAACGGTGAATTACACAACAAACAAGTTAGGAACAGCGCATAATCAAATCCTATTCAGAGAAACCTCCAAAGCGAAACAAGCCTAGACACAAACATTTGCCGCGGGCAGCTAAAATATCTTGGCTATGCCGCAGATCTGCGCCCAAACCGTCGAATGCCTCCAAGCTTCATAATACTGGATGACAATGGGCCAGAGCTACGACTTCCAGTAGAGCAAATTTGAAATGCTGACGAGGCAAACTGGCTGGCGCCGTTGCCGAGATCAAAATGAGCGCTAAAAGTAGATGGATTACAGGCAAGTATCATCGTCCAGACAAACTGAAACTCTATGGTTCAAATACGTAAGTGCAGTGCGTGCAGCCAAGTATGTTGAAGGCGCAGAGATTAAATGGAGGGTATAATCAGACCCAAATTCGGATCAGTTTTAATGCTTGAGAATACTCAGATCTAGAAACCTGAAATTTTGAGATATTTGTCTCGCGAAATTATGATTGCGAATACAAAACAAAATAAAATCCGAGACACAGTACGTGCTGCTTGCTTCGCTGGCAACCAGCGAATCTCGTTTACTGGTGAGTGGCGCTCCCAAGAAAGAAAACGATAATTCGAACGAACTCCGAGAAGTTGGCGTGCGATTTTTAACAGTATAAGCAAGGCTTTTTTAGTCCTTGAACAAACATAGCTTCCTACAAAATGTAACGTACGTAAAAACTATTACGAGGCAACTGGCCGTTTGTTTGTGTTCCAATTCTTTTCAGAATACAGGCACGGTGCCTGAAATGGTGTGCAGTTCTAACTTCCGATCAAAGCGTGAACTCCCACGCTAGAAAAAAGATGCACAGAAAATTCAACTGCTTAGCGCTTTACTGATATCGATTGGACTGCGGTTTGGAATATATAATTTTCAAAAAATCTTACTAGATGTTTAGTATTAGCATGTTTAGGGGTAAAGCTGTTCTGTTTACTTTATCGACCACTTTCCTCTTACTGTTTTATTTAGATTTTTGCCGTGCAAGCACTTGGTATAAAATGTGTAATCGGAAAATGTAAAAAAGAGCTACGCTTCATTAAAGTGGCATCCAAAGCTAGATCTCTACTTCTCATAATCAACACTTAGTTTTACCGTTTTTCCGCAACCTCATTTAGGAAAACGATGAATTTGCTGCTACAAGTTGCTGCTACTCTCACACTGTAATCCCGCCGTTGCGAAGACTTGGCTTTTACAAGTATTTGAATGTTATTTTTTTTATCATATTCGCGTTGAAATAATGATATATTTGATGTCAGAAGTGCTGTTCTGACATCAGAGAGATCAGAAGGTAAATTATGAAACTAGCAGCAATGTTTTATTTTCTTTAAAAACTTCGTCTTAGTTGTACAAGAAAATCACAATTTCCCCGAACCACGTTTTATACAATTTCGACTTCGTTTGATTTTTCTGTGTATCATCGTCGATAGATCTTTGCTGATAGCGTTTTTGCTATTCGTTCTTGCAATTTGACAAGGCTTTTCATAAAAAACGTTGGATGTCAAATTCAGTAACCACAGATGAAAACACAATTATCTTTTGCACAGAGGAGGCTGAACTCTTTATTTGCGCGTGTTGTGCTAAGCACTGTAATGCTGATCCAGTGCCTTATTCTGTTGATGCAACTATCGGAGCTTATAAAAGCATATTTGGATCAGTAATGCAATATTTCTTC